ACAAAGAACGGTATCAAACCAAGATTACGATCTTCCTGAAACTGCTATTCATCTCACTCGTATGAGGAATACAACAATGACAAAATCTGTTATTATCGATGATTACCATCTGCAAATTTTATTGCTTGATTCACAGCTACAGTTATGTGATTTTGCACAGATATAAAAACGTTATCACTCAAATTAAAAAACGTTTGCTGGAAGGGTTTTTGAATTATTTATGAAAAAGTCAGTCATTTTTCAGCGATTGGGAAAAAATTATACTTGGATCGCTTGGCGCAATGTTTCACCACGAAGGCGAAACTTTGAATCCGTTTCGAGGATTCTGAGCTTCACCATTCCGATCATGCAAGCCTTCTCAATCGAAGAGTGTGCCTGAACGAGAGATTTAAGTTTCACCTCTCGAAACATCAACAAATACCAAATAAGTTTTTCTTAAAGCACCGAATACGAACAGAACGACGGATTTAAGCATAACAGAGGAATAATCAAACTGAAATCAGATGGAATGAAAGTTTAGTCTACCTCTTTGGAGCAATATGCGACCAGTTTTGATAGAAGAAGCCCTTCCTCGACAAATGGGAAGCGTTGCCTGAGCTCTTTTAGCACTTCAAATCGAGCAGCGAGTAGTGAAACGAAGCTGCATTCACTTGCGGATCCCTAAACACGAGCACAGAGCGTAAAACCAAAAAAAAAACTTCTGAATGATTATCATTTGCATATTTCAATTCTCTGCAGCTTGTAAGGAGAACAGTTTGTGACTGTAGCGCAAAGGGACTATTAGTTTCAGTTCCATTTTCAGACATTTTTGCGCTTAGAGGTTTTGTTTATAAATACTTAACACTGTCTACCTCCAAATTTACTCGAGATTAATGACTTTTCGGCTCACACTGCGTATTATTGATTGTGAGAGAATAATCCACGTCCATGACGGCCTGTCTTTTCTCTGTTGAAGCCGTCAGAAGTACTTTTGTATTTTTTAATAAGAAAATTCTTTAATAAGGAAGGCATGACGCCTTTGAATTTTTATTCGGCTTGATTAAGATCGAATAGCCCTTTTCGCAGGCCAATGATCAAGTTTCTTGACTGGTCGACTTCTACCACCTGTTGCTACCGA